AATGTTTGATAGGTGCAGGTATTGCAGTAATTATGAATCTATTTTGGAACAAATGTGGAAAATCACCATTAGTTGAATTGGTTACTTTTGTCATGTTCTGGTTCAAAATGGTAGACATATTGATCTCATTAGACGTTTAAAATTTTCATCTCTCAGTTTATCAGCGAGGATCTGTCACCGGACAACTGTACAGATTACAACTTTGGTTACAATGACTGTCCCAAATGCATCCAAGCTAGACTGTATGTACCTAATGTAAAGTGTGTGTACCTAATGTAAAGTGTACGTACTTAATGTAAAGTGCATGTACCTAATGAAGTTAAATGAATATTTAATTAAGTAAATATCGACGAGCTCAGCAATTCGTTTTTGGTAGCAGTTTAGCTCTCAGTGCAGGCTGGGATAACACTTCACCAATTAATAACAACAACAACAAAAACTTTAGTTAGTGTCAAGTGTATCTAATACTGTTGTGCTAACTGGGGACGCTGTAAGTATTTGAAGAAATATTGCAAATAGAACATAAACTATTACGATTCCTAACTGGTGGGAGCTAACCAGTTGGCTATTTACACAACGCGGTGGAGAAGTTGAACTCGGGACTACCGAGAACAAATCCAGATAGCGACAAGGTAGAGGATTTCTACCACGGACCTCCAGATTTCAAATCCAGCGACCTAAACCACTTGACCACGCCGCTTTCACTCATCCAATACTTTGATGCATGGCGCAGTAGATCTTACATGTAGCCTGGTTTGCCGTTCTTCTAATGTTGGTCGACCATTTTTACTGGAGCTAGCTATACCTTAGAACTTTCGAGGAATATTTCACAGACTAACATGACATTCTTTCAGCGTACTACATGGACAGAGCCTCAAGACAGATTTTCATTTTCGTTGATTTTTCTTTTAGTCCTGATGAAAAAATCGACGATGAGAAATGTTCAGCAGTGGGTTGTCCGGGCACAGATCTGACAGACCTCAATACTTACTTCTCTCAGTACGTGTTGGAAAAGAGTAATGCCTCCAATTACTTCAATGTGTACGTTGCTGGTTTCTCGCTTGCTCCCACGACCTCCATGCCAATGGCTAAACCCTCAAACATGTCGAACAACACTGGACTAGCTAACAAGACCCAGGAGACCACAGAGAACACAGTTTGGTACAGTAACGAGGTAAATATGACTGTAAAAATAACAAGCAGAGATGCTATATAAGACAAGCTTGAATTGGACAGAAGTTAATCTGTAAATTCTTCCTTTAGATCTTCCTCCTGTTTTGCAAATAGACATGGCAAAGGTGAAGGCTGACTCGAAAACCTTCAAGTTCATTTGCTTTCAAGCTTATTGATAAAAACGGAGTCTACTACTATTAGCTGCACTTTTTTAGAGGGAGTTCTCACAAAGGGATAACCTCTTAACTTCCTTTTCTAGGGGCATCTTTCTTTTTCCCTTGTTTTTAGTTTTTTATTGTAAATCTAGTATGCTTCTAGAATAAATAAAGTATGTATGTATTAGTTTATTTATCAGATTAGATGCTCTTTAAAAGAGGTGTGCCTCAGGAAGACTTCAATCATTAATTGCCAGAATCATGATGTACATTCATTGTGTTATAGACATTAGCACTCCATTGTCCCTACGTAACGTACTAAAAGTGTGATATTTCCAGGAAGTACGCCTTTCAGTTATAATGGTTTATATTCATTGTCTTCACAGGCGTTTCACACTATAGCAGAGGCCCTGAGTGCAATGTCTAACATTCTGCTGACAGATCAAATGGGCGATTCATCTTACGGTATTGAGGTTACAAACCATCCTCTTCCAAACAGTGTCTCAAACAAGGTCAGTTAATAAGGTTTGACATTTAGGTGATACTACAAAGCACAACGAAGAGCAAGTTTCACTTAAGTGTCGATACCTGCTTTGGATTTTTATAACTACGTTACTACGTTAAGCGATTGGCTTATAAAACTCGCGTCACTTTCTCAACTAATCAGAAGTAAAACCAAAACCAATTGTGATTTGCTCACACACGTTTTCCCGCGCTTCGCGTCAGCTACAGGTATTTGCTTCAACCTTTGATTGGTTCACTGGATTGTCTGTGTCCTGTGTGATTGGTCAGACTGATTGTTTTGGCTTTGGTTTTACGACACTCTATTGAAACCACGCTTAAAATAATCCTTAATAAAACTTGCAATATTATTTAGTGTGTTATGTAGTGACAAATAAGAGTGTACTAGGCAAACGGCTGGTTCTCTTAATCCAAACAGACTCTGAAGATTTCTTAGTTCTGTTTTACACATACAAGCGGTAATACATAAAAGTACTGATGGTTGTTTTTCAGGCCGATAACGTGACAGGTGACTTCTCTGCTCTTTTGCTGGCCATATTTCTTGCACTGGGGATGGCTTACATGGCTGCCAGTTTTGTTACATTCATTGTGCAGGAAAGAGTGTCAAAGGTAATTAAATGTGCTAAATAATTACTGTTAATCGTTTATGCAGTGAGCGTGATTATTAAGTTTTACAACATTTTTTTAGTCACCAAGCTGATAAATAATATTGATGATACAAGTAATGTTTAAGCAAGATGCGTTCATCACAGAACTGATTTTCAGAACGGCGATAGAAAAAAATGGGTAAAAAGCGGTAAGAAAAAAACTATAAAAAGTTATATAAAAACGAGAAAAAATACAATTACAGCTACCTGTTAAAAATGGCGGAATAAAAATGCTGAAATGTAAGCTCTCCTATCTTCATCTGAAAAAGTAAAATAATACCTTAATAACTACTTAATAACCGAGAGTGAGGTCGTTAAGGGAAAATCTCAAACTGAGGTCTTGCCGTATTGACCGAGCGATAGCGAGGTCAATACGGTAGGCCGAGGTTTGAGATTTTCCCGTAGCGACCGAACGGTCGAGGTCATTAAGTTGTTTATTATATGGCTCACGAATTAAAGAAAAAAAAAAATTATTCGAGCGAAGTCGTCAATTTACATCCGGCGATGCGCGCGTTTACTGATTCATTCATCGTCTCAAACCCAGGGCAAAACTACACAGTCAGT